ACGGTACACGCACACAAAAATAATAAAATTTAAAAATAAAAAAATTTTAAAAGGAAAGGAAGAAATAAACAATATTATTATTTACAAATAACTTGATTGTATATATAGAAGATAACATTTTTAAATGATTATATTTTGCCAAATATAAATTCTACATCTATGAAGCTACTTTTCAAGAATATTTTCTTGATTAAAAAGATTTTCCTAGCCCTTGACTGAAAATTTGGCCTCTTGTGACTTATTTGGGAACTTTCAAATAATAGGAAATGGTGTGGTCATTTGAGTCAGAGTTGCCTGATGGTGCCTGGCTCATCTGTTTTTACATATAAAGGGTTTTGGATACCATTTGTTTACATGTTGTCTGTGCCCAATTTAATGCTTTACTATCAGGATTGATTCATTGTGATATTCTAACAGTGAACATCCAAATTAAGACAGACTAGGAAGAAGGATTGGCCATCCACTTCTGAAATATAACTGACCTTTGAAAACTCTATGTACAGCAGTGCACACTCATAGTAAACTAACAGATATGGCAACTGAAGTTGAGCTCTCAAATTTGGAAACAACAGAAGAGAAACAGTTATTAAGAAGAAATTAACATTTGGTATGTGAAATGTGCAAGGAGCTAGAGTCAGAAAATCAAAAGGGCCAAACTTGCTTAGCATTTCTTAAGCTCAAGGAACTAAAGAACAAATTCAAACCTCGAGTTGGAATACTCAAGGATGCTTTGGTCAGAACATTAAATGATCCAAGAAGCATTAAAAGAAGATGGAAAGAGTATACAGAGTCATTGTAACAAAAGAAATTGGTGGACACAGAAGAATTTCATCAAACAACATATGAGCAAGAGACTGTGGTGTTGAAGAAGAAAGTTCAAGCTGCTCTGAAAGAATTGGCAAAAAACAAAGCCCCAGGAATTGATGGCATACCAATTGACATATTTCAATGAACAGCTGCTGCCCTGGATGTGCTCACCAAGTCGTGCCAAGAAATCTGGAGGACAACCACCTGGCCTACTGACTGGAAGATCTATATGTTCCCATTCCAAAGAAAGATGATCCAAGAGAGTGTGGAAATTATCAAACAATATCATTGATATCACATGCAAGCAAGATTCTGTTGATCATCCAAAACTACCAGAGAACTGCCTGAAGTGCAGGCTGGATTTAGAAGAGGCCATGGCACTAGGGTAGTATAGCTAATGTCATATGGATCTTGGCTGAAAGAAGAGAGTACCAGGGGAAAGTCTATCTGTATTTTATTGACTATGCAAAGGCATTTGTGTGGATCACAACAAACTGTGGCTGACTTTGAGATGAATGGCAATCCCAGAACACTTGTGCTTATGCAAAACTTATACTTGGACCAGGAGGCAATTTTAAGAACAAAGCAAGGAAACACTGCATGGTTCAAAATTGGGAAGGATGTGTTTCAAGGATGTGTCTTATCTCCATATCTTTTTAGTATAAATACAGAACAGATTATCTGGGAGGCTGAGCTCTATGAGGAAAAGTGTGGCATCAGGATCGGAGGTAGACTTATCAACAATCTGAGTTATACAGATGACACAACTATGCTTGCTGAAACTGAGGAGGACCTGAAGCGCTTGCTGCAGAAAAGGTCAAGAACTGCAGCCTTCAATATGGATTGAAGCTCAACAACAAGAAAGCAAAGATTCTCTACACTGGGCCAATTGGCAGCATCGTGTTAGACAGTGAAGAAATTGAGATTGTTGATAGCTTCAGTTTGCTTTGCTCTAGAGTCAACACTTGGTACCATCAGCCAGGAAATTGAAAGACAAATTGCATTGGAAAGTCTGCTGTTAGCGACCTCGCCAAGGTACTGAAGAGCAACAATGTCAGTCTGGAGACTAAGGTGCACCTGATACAGGCCATGGTCTTCGCCATTGCTTTCTATGCATCAGAGAGCTGGACAATGACTAGGGATGATAGAAGGAGAATTAATGCTTTGGTGCTGGAGAAGAATGTTGAATATACCATAGACTGCTTGGAGGACAAACAAGTTCATCCTGGAGAAGGTGAAACCAGGCTGCTCCTTGAAGGCAAGGATTCTGAAGCTTCATCTGACATACTTTAGACATGTTGCAAGGCATCATGCTTGGAAGGATGGAGCGACTGTACCGGAGAGGAAGACCCTTGATGAGATGGATTGATTCCATCACTGGGGTAATGGGAATGGGCATGTTGGAGACAATAAGATTGGCAAGGGATAGAGCAGGGTTTAGGGCTGTGGTACATGGGGTCATTATGAGTCACAAGTGACTCAATGGCACATAACAACAATGTGGAATGTAAGAAGCATGAAAGTAGGAAAACTGGACATTTTAAAGAAAGAAATAGAATACATAAATATTGACATATTGGGTATTAGTGAAATGAAATGGATTGGCATGAGACATTTTTAATTTTACAATCATATGATCTATTATGCTAGAGATGAAAAGGTGAGAAAAAACGGGGTCACTTTCATGGTTAAAAAAGGTCATTTCTGGCTCCATCTTGAAATACAGTATTGTGAGTGACAGGATAATACCTATACACATACAAGGAAGATCTGCTAATACCACTATCATTCAAATTCAGATGCCTACAACCAGAGACGAAGAGGAGGAAATAGATGCTGTCTGTCAACTGTTGCAGTCAGAAATAGATCAAATATGTAAGCAAGATGCTTTAATGAGTAACTGGAATGCAAAAGTTGTAATTAAAGAAGAAGGATCAGTAGACGGAAAATATGGACTTGGTGACAGAAATGAGGCTGGGGATAGAATGATAGAATTCTGTATATTCAATGATTTATTCATAGCAAATACCTTTTATAAGAAACATAAACACAAACTATACACATGGATTTCACCTGATGGAATGCACAGAAGAAATCAGATTGATTACATGTGTGGAAGGAACTGTTGGGGAAGTTCAGTATCAGCAATAAAAAGTAGGCCAGTTACTGATTGCAAAACAGACCATCAACTGCTCATGTGCAAGTTCAAATTAAAACTAAAAGGTTAAATCATAGCCACAGGAAACAAAGTATGACCTTGAGTCTGTCTCCCATGAATTTAAAAACAACTCAGGAGTAGGTTTGAGGCCTTGAACACTAATGAACCAGGTAAGCTGTGGGAAGATATCAAGAATATTGTTCATGAAATGTGTGAAAAGCCATTACTAAGAAGGAAGAAGAAGAAAAAACAAAATGGATGTTAGAAGAGACTAAATATTGCACTAGAGCACCGAGAAGCCAAAGCAAAGGGTTAAGAAGTTAAGGACTTGAATAGAAGATTTCAAACGGCCACTTGGGAAAACAGGCAAAATATTATAATGAAATGTGCAAGGAGTTGGAGTCAGAAAATCAAAAGGGCCAAACTCGCTCAGCAAATGAAATAAAGAATAAATTCAAGCTGAAGGAAATAAAGAATAAATTCAAGAAATAAAGAATAATTTCAAACCATGAGTTGCAATGCTTAAGGATGCTATAGGCAGGATATTGAATGACTCAAGAATCATTAAAAGCAGATGGAAGGAGTATACAGAGTCATTGTACAAAAAAAATTGTCTGCCACAGAAGAATTTCAAGAAACAGCATATGAGCATGAGACAAAGGTGATGAAGGAAGAGGTGCAGGCTGCTCTGAAGGACTTGGCAAAAAATAAAGCCCCCAGAATTGATGGAATACCAATTGACGTGTTTCAGCAAACATGCTGCCCTGCATGTGCTCATCAAGTTGTGTCAAAAAAATACGGAGGACAACTACTTGACCAACTGACTGGAAGAGATATTTATTCCCATTCCAAAAAAAGTTGACTTGACAGAGTGTGGAAATTATTGAACAATATCACTTATTTCACACAATAGAAAAATCCTCCTGAAGATTATCCAGAAAAGACTTGAGTAGTACGTTGACAGAAAACTACCAGAAATACAGGCTGGGTTTAGAAGAGGCTGTGGCACTGTGAGTGGAGTGGTGGGAATGAATGTGTTTGAGACAGTGAGGTTGACACAGGTTAGAAAGGCGTTTAGGGCTCGTGTACATAGGGTCGCTATGAGTTGCAAGTGACTCGATGGCACATAACAACAACAACATGGCACTAAGGGCATTATTGCCAATGTTATATGCATCTTTGCAGAAAGCAGAGTACTAGAAGAATGTCTATTTGTGTTTCATAGACTGTGCAAAGGCATTTGACTGTGTGGATCACAATGAATTGTGGCTAACCTTGAGGAAATGGGAATCTCAGGACATATGATCGTGCTTATATGAAACATGTAGTTGAAACAAGAAGCAGGCCTCAGAACAGAGCAAGGAGATACTGCATGGTTCAAAATTAGGTAAGGAGTGTGTCAAGGATGCATCCTGTCTCTGTACCTTTTCAATTTGCATGTAGAATAGATTATACAAGAAGCAGGGCTTTATGAGGAAGAGTGTGGCATCAAAATTGGAGGAAGGCTCATTAAAAACCTGCTATATGCAGGTGACACATCTTGCTTTCTAAAACTGAAGAAGACCTGAAGCACTTGCT